TTATTCCACAGTAACTTAGTCATAATATATTTATTTTCAAGCTTTTAAACTGTTACCAATGGTAACAATGGTTACATGGACGCTTCGCCACTGCATACAATAACTCAAAAAGTTTGCCAAATTTAGATAAAAAATAAACTGGTAAACAAAAAACGCTTAGATTTTACACGGCAGTGAGAATATGATAACATTCTTATTTTTCAAAGTTTCAATCTTTAACTATTTATTTTATAATGCAACTTTTATATAGGTGATTTTCGGTATATCAACTCCCTTTGACAAGTCGTACAAGCAGTTAAAACAAATGTCTGAGCTTTGAAAACACCCTGTATTGATATGTTAACGGATATGGGGATAATTAAGATTAAGGAAATACATATAATCTCGAAAGGAAATCAGAGAGCAAAAAAATGACTTTCTGGATATTAAAGATGGAGACTCAAGTGGAAGCACCATATCAAAAAAATACAAAACAATATTATTGATAATTGTAAGGAATGTCGGAAAAAGATAACTAGCCATGAAAAAGGTTCTAACACCACAATGTAGAAGATTGTTAGTCCATTATATGCTACCTCATGCCGCTAACACATATGTTCACGAAGTGGGCCAAAGTTCGACAAGTGAAATTGGTAACGACGTATCAATAACTAATCAATTACGTATTCCAATCGAGCGATAGACCAATTTTTCACTGACATACATAGAATCGACGTTTTTTAAGTTCGAATTACTATGGCAGTAGGTCAAGCCGGGGTCGCAGATCACGTGCAATCTTTTGCCAAAGAATTCGTGGACCTTTCCGGAGTCAAGTGAATGGATTCAAAGCTCTTCACTAATAAATGTATTTTCTGTTCCTGGAGTATTATTTTTGTAGTTTTACTTCAACTTGAGAATTACGTGTGATGAATCAGTTTTAGACAATTTAATATACCTACACATTTTCTTTCGGTGCCACTATTGATATGAGATTTGGAGACAATTGAAATTGTTAGACCTCAGCATCAATTTTTAAACGACGCGCGACGTCTACAAGAGATTCGGATCTTGAGATATAGTGAAAAACAAAAAGAGATGCAGATCTCGACAAAACGATTAGTAAATAAAATTTGGAATTGCTCGGAAATTATGATCACTTTAAACTTTTTTGATTATTTGCAACTTAAAATACGGAAAAATTAATCTTTGGAGTGTCTTGAATTTCAATTGCCTCTGCATCTGCTAACGTTTAGCAATTTTGTAAAATCCAATGTGCTTTTTCAAAATGGAGCAGATGTTCATGGAAGTCGTCTAAGATATTTTTTTGTCGATTTTCAAAAAGTCTACTTTTTACCAGTGTCGAATATAAGGAAAGTCCGGCAGGGGTATCCTGTAGAAAACCTATAAAACGTCAAAAAAAAACCTCTTGCAAACTAGGACACAAACAGCCATTCCGAGTTTGCTCACTAGGATCATTGTGAACATCCATCTAAGGAGGGATCACTCAACTAAACTACACGCATTATTGGTTGCATATGTTTTGTGAGGCCAAGTGGTCCTTGTCTGTAGTTTTTATCTCTGAGAAGAAAGTTGGTTGAATAGCAAGATCGCATCTGGATGATCATGTGTATTGGTCTGCATGCGTATAAAATCAGTGATATTTGCTGTGTGAGAAAATCATTACTGAATATGCTGCCAATGCAATACATCTATTGGCTGTGCCCGACGGGTAATTTTTATGTTGTGCGTTCTGAAGAGAGGTTATGTTCAAAGTTACAAATTACGAAAAACTGAGGTGAATTACGGGTAATCATCACTGCGCCTGCGTTGTGTGTATTTACTGTTAGCATGTATATGACTTGTAATTCGATAGTGTACAGTGAATATAATTATTTCTTATCTCTCGCATTTTTGAAATTCACCAAACTTGTATATGTAATTTCCAGAATGGATAAGGAGTGGATGCGCAACCAATTTCTAGCTTTGAATCTCAATTAAGTGTATTTGAGACAAGAACCCAATGTAATTATTGTCATCAACACATACATACAGCTTAGATCTCCAGTAATGCCATCTCAGAAGCAGATTTTACATCAAATCAGAGCCAAAGATTGATAACAAGCCTCATGTCGTTTAGGCAACACGTACAACTAAGTGCTAAGTTAAACATCTTGTAGAAAAACCTACATAAAGTCAAAAAAACAGCATAATGTCAAAAAAAATAACTTTTCAAGATATGTCATACCCGTGCGGGAGACTTGACCCGTCTACGAGCCGTTTTACACACAAGAGAATTACTCCGAAAATTATGGTCATAATTATGCTGAAAATTTGCATGGAAAAAATATTGAAGATTTTCTCTACAACCTGTATGACACAAGCAAACAAAATTTCGGAGTAATTCATATGATACGCCTGCGCATTAGAGTTATATTTTCAAATGGACATAACCTTAACGGGTATGACGTCCAATATAATCGGAAAGACAACAGACGTCGATAATTTAAATTTATTTTTGAAATCGAGATCTTGGTTAATATTATAAAACTTCTCAATGCTTGGACTATCGCATCCAGCGCCTGACGCCGCAAATTTCTGTTTTTGTAATTGGGTGACTTCACCTTGTACAGGTTTGGCCATTTTTGGTACTCCTCCAACAACATTGTAAATTCTTCCCGATTCCACGACATTATGAATAAACAATAACAATAAACGCTCCTTCGTACGACTCGAACAGGACCACTCCCACAAATGTTAAGTGAGGTTATGTTGTTGTTGTTGTCGTTGACATTTGATATTGACATGCACGGAAATAACCCTCTGCGCCGATTCTCGCGCATATAATATAGAACAGGTTTTATATTTTTACCATGAAAATTTTCACAAGAATTATTTTACGTGTAATACGACAGCAAACATTTTCGGCATAATTATGACCATAATTTTCGGAGTAAGTCTCTTGTGTGTAAAACGGCTCTACCACATAAGAGCACATAAATTTATGAAGAATCCACATATTGCTATGATTATAATTAGATATAGAAAATCAGTTAATGAGGGAGATTTTAACCTGGGTTGTAGCAAGGGTTGTAGTATACTTAAAGATCGTTATAATTAACATCGGTTTTTGACAATTGCAGTTATCTATCTCTGCGTCGTAAAGTATAAAATCAACTTATGTCAATGCTTTGCCTAGAGTTCAGATCAGGTAGTCTACATTGTACATCAGCATTGAATCAGCGTAAAAATATAAAAATAAATATAAACATCTAAATTTATCTAAACAGACATTAAGACATTTCAATTCTAAAACAGTAAAAAAATAGTAATTATCTAAATAGAAAGCCATACCATATTTGAATTAGTTTTTCTTAAATATTTTTTTCATTGATGACTCAACGCAGCTTTGTAGTCAATTGAGGCCTGACATCGTGGTGTCCATGTAAAACAATGAACTAATTTAGCTTGTCATAGGGACATATTGTTCCCTATCTAGTATTTCTAAAGTTTAAGCTGGAAGGATGAACTCTTGTTTGACATTGATAACTGAGGAGTTTTTGAGGAAAATAGCCACATTTCGGTACAGTTGTATCAACTTTGATATCGGATCCGGTACGCTGGTATGAAAATACAGTCATTCTGATAATACGAGTATTCCCCGAAATGCGTAGTCTTCCTCCCCATGCCATTTTAGATTTGTTCATAGTTTTCTAAAAACCAGAAGGGTTCATAAGGGCTCCCATAGACAGAAAGCGTTCAAGCGTTCCGAGTTCCGCGTTCTGCGTTCCACGTTCTTTGTAACTAATATAATATCTCTATAGAGCGGCAGTTATTTATTTATACACTACTCAACATCAACAACGATTTACGGAGTAGGATACAGACCGGACAAAAAAAACAATTATTTTACAATACGCAAGAATGGGTAGTTCGAACACCAAGGTGCTATTTACAAATATGTTCAAATATCAGATAAGAAAGCAAAAAAGACAGACAAAACCTCACAGAAATAGGTATATCTAAATCTTCTGCAACGTCATTAACTCTACCACAAGAGTAAAATAGCGGAGAAAACTTTAAGATGTTTGTTCTAGGGACAGGCAAATAAAAAGTATCAAATTGTCTAGAATTTAAGCGTGGAATAAGAAGATTAAATTTATGCAATGTATGGCAGCAATCGGTATAATTGTGCAATAAACTACGCACAAAACTAATGCAGCACTTATCACGCCGTTCCCTGAGACTTTCTAGTTCAAGGGCTTCTTCTAAAATTTCTTGAGGGTAGCCAATTGGCGGGTAACTGCCATTTTCCTTGAAATATAGGTATTTTAGTAATCGTCGCTGATATTTTCAAGTTTACCTATCCAGAAGTCATAGCAAGGCCGCCAAACAAGTGACGCATAAAATGTCAGAAATACAAAGAACTCGTGGAAAGCCTTGTTCGCAAGGTGGCTTCCATAGAAAAATTATTTGATTTAGTAATGGAAAGGCGTTTTTTATATGATCTTAGTAACGCGGACTATAACAATAGTTTAAAACAAATGCAGCATGGATAGAATTAGCCACGGAGATGGAAAGTACTGCCATTCTTTCTTTTGTAGATATAGCCTTTCTGCGGTTGGATCTTGCTTATTTTTAAGATAATCATCATCATGCAATTCTTTAAAACTACTTAATGACATTCGGAAATAAATAAAAAATCGTCCTTCATCTTCAAGCAATACAGGAAAAAGAACACTGAACTCTCCTCTATCATCTCTCTTTCTCTTTCTCTCTTTCTTTTTTTCTTATTAGTTTCTTCCAAACTCCGAAAGCAACGCTTCGTCTTCTGAAGACGAACAAACAAAATACATATTTCACCTACAAGTAATCTTCGTGAACGCAGTGTTCGTGACTGCCTCCTGGCTGTGTTAGAACTCGTAAGACGGATTGACAGGACGAACGCGGCTTGAACGCTGAACGCTTGTCTGTCTGCGCGAGCCCTTAAAGGTTTGCTGTCCAAGTACTCAACAATAATAACCATATATTTTAGCATTGCATAATTGAGAAATGGTCTTACTAAACAAACATGAATGAAAAATAAGAAATCTATCTAAAGCAAACTGACATGTGACCTTGAAGAACTCCAATAGGTAAGCCATTCGTAATGTGAAAACTTCTCTTAGGTTGCTGAGTGTGGCTGATATTTTGATTGGCTAATATTGCTAAAGCCTCCCCACTTCTCTTACTCTTAGGAAGTTCAAAATTTATCTGCGTTTAAATTATACGTAAGAGACATTCTACTTGACTCATTTTTCAGTTATGTTTATTGGTGTGATGTAAATCATGCAAGATAAGCTTATTATTTTTTCGATGATTGACCTTAAATCCTTTGAGCTCTTCTGCTCACTGCCTAATGATGATTCCAAGTTTAAAGACCATAATCGCTATACATAGTCAGACACCGCTCATTTGCGTATTTTATCGATACTTTCGTCTGCCTATATGGTATCTTCGCATGGCCTTACGTGGCCCGAATCCCATGCACATATATACCGTTGTTCGGTTGGTTTTTATATGTTATTACGCCTTTCCGAGAATCCAAAGACATTTCCGATGCGGTGGACACAAATGGACGTCGCTTTTTGCTCGTCAGCATTATCATTATGAAATCCTAGTAGATAGACTGGAGATGAAAGAAGAGATGTACCGTTTTTCGGTTCGTGTCGTTGTCTATGGGATCTTCCCATTAGTATCGACGATTAGGCGACTATTTTGAATAATAAGGTGCACACATATAGAGATGAAGCGAGCGTTTTATTATCCATTCGGTTTTTATGAAAATGCTCGGCTATAAGCTTAAATATTTAGGATTATTAAAATCAGAGTTTCTCAATACCGAAGTTTCATTTAAAGCTTTTCGTGGAAATTTTTCTTTCAAACATTTTAGTTTAAGTATTGTAACGCTATCTAAATTTAAAATAGAGGATAGTGAACTTTAATCTGTACGTCTAGGTACATTATAATCAGAAATTCTCATTGATTAATTGCTAACGATTGCGAAATTCTAAACAAAAACAACAATTTGTTACCTTGTTACATGATGCTCTTGATTATAATCAAAACAACCAAAATATTTTATGAATGAATGCGGCTACGTGCAAATCTTGAATCAATTTTTTAAAAACATTACTTGTTAGATCCGCGTTTTGTCATTCAGATGTAGTTGTTATATTTTTGTAAGTGGATATGTGCTAAATTTGGTTATTACCTTTAGGTCTATTTTTGGCTAGTATTATTACTTTTTAAACTTGACCTTCGAAGACAATAATCAAATTTCGAAAATAATAGTGATCGTATTGCAAGCAGTTTTCATCCACTTCATTTCTAGAGCAACCAGGTAGAAGTTATATCAGTCTCTTGTCAGAGTAACGAAGCTTTGTTTATGAGGCTTTATTTTGGGTCTCAGATTTTACTTATAAACTACAGTATTCCAATGTCAATGAAAAATACTCGTATATCGGAAATAGTTATAACTATGCACCTACGTATCATAATCTTGCATTTCCGGATATTGTTGTAGATAAGTTTTGCTTGTGAAATAAAAAGGATTACGTTGGGTATTTCTTTAATCCTATTAGTATGTGGAAGCCGTGCAAATATTGATATGAATGTGTTTTTTTCAGAGGCCACAATGAAGGCGATATGTGCAGTAGTTTTGATGTTAGCAGTCAACGTTTACGCCTTTGCTGGTAGCGATGACAAGTTTTTGAAGAAATATGCCATGATGAAGGTAAGTTTTGCTGTCGATAACATTCTCCATGCTCGTCATTTTATATGCTGATGACACGATAAACAGTATACGACACATATCCAAATATTCATAATCTGCAAGAAACAAATACTGAATTAATAACATGGGATTGTGGTTTGAGTTTACAGACACAAAAGATAGCTACATTAATATTTACCCTAAAAGATAATCATGATGAGAGGGGATGAATTTATTTCGACCCAAAATTAAGACGGAAATATCACATTCTAAATTTAAATGACAAACTGTCCCGTATAATATTTCCTATAGACGAATTACATAAATGTCACTTGTTAGAAGAATAGGCTATTTTAACTTATTTCAAATTACTCGTATTTGGATGAGGCAATGCTCAGAATGGAAGTATATGTTCAAACTTCAGAATACAGCACTGAGATGCATAACTAACACGCAAGTACCGAATCTGCTAGACAGTTATACAGGGTGTCACAACATTCCGTGGATATATACGTATTTTTAGACTCAAAATAAGTTGATTTGATATGATTTACCTCTATGCAAAAGTGCTTCGCTTGTCCGTTAGATGGCGTCAAAGTTTTCTTTTTAAAACACATTTTTTCAGATACTTTTGGAACCGATAGTTCGATTTGAATGAAATTTTGAACACATGTATTTTACTAGCTGACCTAAAATTTGACTGTCATAAAAACCTGAAAGGGTTTGAGAAGGGAGGAAACCACCCCCGTCAATATATAAATTATAGCAGAATTTTTTCGTTACTCTCCCAACGACTCTGAATTTTTCTTATATAAAAGAAGTTTTTATTTGCCTGATTTTTTGTGTCTTATAAAAACAGACCATCTCGCATAGTTTTCGAGAAAAAAAATGTTTCTCGGAGCTGGTTTGAATGAGACATTTTCTTATTACATCAAGTGATAAAATCTAGTAGGCATTCAGTTGGCGGAATTGTGTGTTGACTTTTTCTGCTTTATATATCTATGAATGCTTGCTGTTTGTAAGACTGCACTTACACAAACCTGTGGCAACTGAATCAAACCACGAATATCATACAGGGAATAATGACAGCTTACTTGTACCTCAACATCAGCTATGCTTGATTCATAGAAGCCACATAAATGTGTCTATAAATCTGCAAAATAAATTACCGCAGCAAACACCACAGTGCATTTTTAATGTTTTAAGGGGGTACCCAAAAAAAAGGAATTATTTTTTAAAAGGTCTTTATTTTCAACTTTTTCACAAAGTAACCTTGTCTCCTTCAAAATACTGTCCACTACAATAAACTAATACACTTGTCCTACCGGTGCTTCCACTACTCGAACGATTTTTTGAGGTCTGCCTTAGAAATGTCTGACAATCGTCTTAAAACCTCCAAATAGCACAAGCTCTCGATTTTTTTCGACATTTTCGTCGATTCGGGCAGTTGATGGACGTCCGGAGTGTAGTTTATCATCAATCGACATGTTGCCATTTTTAAATCGAGAACACCACTCGTTTTTCCCATAGCATCATCTTTGTAAGCTATTTTCAACATTAAAACATTTTCAGCAGCATTTTTACCAATTAGAAAGCAAAATTTCACAGCTGCACGTTGCTCACTGAAGCCTGCCATCGTAAAAACGAAACAGCTCTAGCAAAAATAATGACTACAGAGGAACGAAACAAGTCAGATGCTTCTGATCAGGTGGTCAATGTCCTCCTGTGGTATCTCATTCCAGGCAACCACCAACTCCTCTCGAAGTGCTTCTAGAGTCTGAGCAGGACGTTGCAAATTGAGCAATCTCCTACCCATCATATCCCACACGTGCTCAATTGGGCATAAGTCGGGAGATCTTGGTGACCATGGTAACAATGTGACATCATTATGTTGAAAGAAGTCTATTGTGACTCTTGCATGTGGTCGGGCATTATCTTGTTGGAAAGTTGGATCTGCCAGGGTGTCAAGATAGGGTAAAAGATGGGGTTCTAGAACTTCGTGGATATAACGCTGCGCGTTCATGTTACCTCTGATGAAGATTAAAGGTGACCTGGAACCATAAGCTATAGCACCCCAAACCATAACTCCAACAGTGTGATGAACATGTCTTTCAACAAAAAACTGTGGATTCCTCCTTTCACCACGTCGCCTTCTAACCCTGGCACGACCATCGTGCATGCCTGAACAAAATCGAGACTCGTCACTAAAGACAATACTGTTCCATTCCTGATCCCAGAGTGACCGTTGTCTGCACCACTCAAGGCGATTACGTCGGTGTTCTCGAGTTAAAGGGAGGACCCAGTGTGGCCGGTATGAAAACAAGCCAAAACTTCTCATTCATCGGTAAACACTTCGCATGCCAATAGGTCTTCCGTGTTCTGCAAACCATTCATTTGCAATGGACCTGGTAGTGGAGAAACGGTCCCTTAAGGCCAATAATCTTAGGCGGCGATCTTCACGGTCTGTTGTTCTACGGCGGCGTCCAGTGCCCCTTGCTCTTTGCGTACGGCTTTCTCGAAGCCATGCCTGACAACACCTAACCACAGTGTCTATACTTCTTTGCACTCTAACTGTAATTGCCCGAAAAGAAAGTCCAGCTTCCCGAAGTCCCACTATACGGCCCCTATCAAACTCACTAAGTTGACAAAATCGTACAGGTCTCCGTACTCTAGGCATCGTAACCGATCGTAAAGGATGTCAAGAACCAAAATCCGCCAACGTTGATTCTTTACTGCGGCTGAAATATTCATTTTTAGAGCGTTAGTGAATTAAAAAAAAAGCAGTATAAAAACCGGAATGTCCAACTGATAAGGCTGAACATTTTTTCACTTGTTATTTACAGTAAGATAAATACATTCACCAACTTTTATTAAAATAAAACCATTTAAACTGGGCGTTCGGATTTATATGTCACTTAGTATAATTCACACTTGGGGTATTTAAATTAATATTTTTTGTCAAAATCATGAATTGCATTCCACCAATCATTTTTTATCTTCCTTCTTTTTTTTCTTCTGTGATTGGCGATGCAATGTTTATTTTGTATTTTTGCAAATAAAGCTTATTGATTGAAAACCACAGGATAAGATTCAGGTATTACATTCACGGATTTTTCTGACTATACGGAGATACTTTAGAGAGTGATTACTTGTTAAAAAATATGAAAACAATCTACAAACGTAAATTCAGAGTCTCTTAAAAAATATTTACTCGGTTCTGTTGAAATTTGAACTGAGATGCGCATGTCAAACCTCCATGCAAAAATGATTTTTTGTTTTCCAAGGCACTTGTGATTTTTTTAGCAAAAATTAATAAACCAATTTTGTCCAGTGACATGCAATAAAACGGTTTTTATTTTTTGTGTGAGATACGGAAAAATACAAGAGGCAAAGAAGTCGCCACTGGACATAATAATTTTAATCTATTTAAGGCAAAATTACCCTCTTAATACAACATATAATATTGCCAAATTTCAAAAGAATCGAGTAAAAATTTTTCAAAATATTTTGAAAAAAATATATTTTTTTTTATATTTATCACTCTATACCTTGAAAACTATTTCCGGATTCATGTATACAGGATGTCTGCAAAAGGTTGGGAAGTATCTAAACTGGGATACTACAGACCAAAATATGTGAATTGACCTTAACATACCTTAGTCCAAAAGTTGATAGTTTATTAGTTGATAGCGCTGAAAGTGGCGCCCTCTAGAAGTTTTGCCATAAAAACTAACGGATTCTTGTTTCTCATACCAGAAAACCTTCGTATACCGAGTTTTATGCCAAAATCTGAAATACTTCTCAAGCAATAAGGAAAAATAGAAAATAAAGTTGTAACTTTGACACCCTGTATCTCGCAAAGTATCAACTTTTGGACTAAGGTATGTTTAGGTCAATTCACATATTTTAACCTTTCGCAGACACTCTGTATAGAAACATTTTTTCATATATTTACAAGGAATGACCCTCTAAAGTATCTCCATCTATTTTTCGAACACTCTGTATATTCCTGTAAATCTAGGTCTGACTAGAAACAAAAACAAAATATTACATTTAAAAACAAAAAATCTAGGGTATACTACCTCTACATTATTTTGGAATATGATTAGCGCTGAGACCAGTAAAGTGTTTTCTAAGTAAAATTATCAGAAACTTGTAAAGGTAGGGTGATTGATAATGACTAGCAAAAATTTACTCAAACCAATAAAATTACAACAAGCATACAAAGTCTGGGGATGTTTCAATAATTTTGTGCTTAAAAATAATTAGATTTATATAATCACGATATTCTACCTGCACGTTTGTTGATTGTCTCAGATAATATATACAGGGTATTTCAGAAAGACATGCCAATATTTCTAGCAAAAAATTAAAAAGTTCCTATAAATGTGGGTTGCTAAGATGCTCCCCTACCGAGATACATGGTGGTGAAGTTTTATTTACGAAACTTAACAAAATTATATCTTCGGAGCGGGTGAAGATACTGAGTTACGATATTAAACATTCAGTAAGCACATCATAAGAAATAAACACACAGAGTTTCCCGGCCCAAACTAAATCAGGAGCGTATAAACTAGGGTACCTGGACCCTTAGTGGGAACTATTTTCTACGCCTCTGGCATTTATTGGAGAAAAGCAGTGCATTTTATAAAATACCTAGCCATTATCCAAAAATATTGTCTCTCAAAGTTCTGTCAGATCATTCGTTTTGGAGATATTTAGGTTTAAATATTGGAGGTAGAATCCTAAAATATGCTTATGAAAAGGTTTAGCCTTCCCTAATATGATAATACCGTGAAGCTTTATGATGGGAACACGCTGTATAGTTTTGAATCATCTCTATAATAATTCTTTCGTATACATGTTATGTCTGCTCACAATATTTTGTAATTCTGTCTCCAGATATACGAAAGCTGTTTTGGCGACGAAGTAATCCGCCAGATCCGTCGCGAAATGAAACAGGCCTGTGCGAAATGCGCAGGCGCCGGTGACATGCCGATGCCTCCCCCGGCCAACCCCATGGGAGCAGAACAACGACCCATGGGCGAGGAAGAGAACTTCAGGCCTCACCGGCAGGAGAACATACCGCAAGTGCCGCTAGCACCGCATCAGGCTCCGCAATTGCCGCAAGGCATCGACGCTGAGAAACTGCATCAGGCTATATTTGCCTTCAGGCCGGTGCGTATTTTTTATTACAAGAGCATTTTTGGAAATATAAAACGCCCGACTGCAGTAAATGAAAAAAAATTGAATTGTCATATCAAGACGAATCTAAGAGAAAAAAATTCAAAAGGACTCAGGTCAGGTGAACAAGGAGGCTGAGGAGTAACAGGAATGTTTTTACTGGACAAAAACTCGTTTACTGAAAGCGCTGTGTGACAAGCAGTACTATCGTAATGCAACACGCAGTTGTTCTTGATCCGCTGAACGGTGGTGTATGTCAAATTTAACTCTTCCGGTATGGGTTTCATGTAAAAAACCCATAAAACGTCAAAAAACAAACTATAAGATGTCATCTTGCAAACTAGGTAAATAATGGTTTTAGTTTGAGCGTACACATTTTGGAATTGTGTATATACGAATTTAAATATTTATCGATGAAAAACCTTACTTTTCAGAATGCAGCCCCACAAGCCGCATACAGACCGTTCACCCCAGCTAGCCCACCAAGCTTCTATGGTCCATTCGGCGCTGCACCCCAGTTCACCCCAATGGGTGCCTCCATGTATTATCCAGGATTCCAGCAACTGCCATTCTCACCTTACGCCTTCCCTATACCCGCCGGAGGGCAGTCTTACTTTGGAAGCAGAATGTCGGTAAGGCTAACGTTTCTTTAATAACCATTGTTTCCTTCTATAGGTACTCACTTCAACTTGAATTTTTTTCCTGTTTCAGAGGGACATGGATATAAGGAGTCAAATAGAAGCAATCACGTCAAGGATGAGTGGAAAAGCAAGGAACGTAACTTGTATCCTCCAGGAGCTTGGTTACTTGGACGAGAACTTTGAACCCAACTTCGCCAGGATCAACGAAAGGATCAACAACTTGCCAATCGCTGAAGAATTGAGGAAGGATATGCTTGATGGAGTTTCCTTCTGTCAACAGTTCTCGGTAAGTAAATCTACAATCTATATTGTAACTTTCCCTAAGAATTGGTTGATTGCTGGGAGGACCTTACTTCACATTAACATAATTCTGACTAGAGTTTATATCAGGATCACAAAAGCAACAAGAAGTCAAAAAAATTATATATAGTATGAAATTCGACACTATGAAGATAGTCTGATGATTACATGCGCATTTCACCTATTGGAGATTTTGTATCAGGATCGCTAAAATGACGAGAGGTGTTCGAGTCGATATCTTGAAATTACCATTAGTATCAGGATAAGAATATTTTTCTATGCTTCCTCATGTTTCTCTGCTCCTGAGAGCTTTTCACGACATTCAACGCGTTTGATGTCTCAATATACGAGTATTTCGCCTCTTCAGGGTGTTAATTTCTTAGTTCAGCATCGAAAAAAAGGGGTTCCCTCAAAGTTATTCATGCAAGTATACATTTCCTGAGCTCAAGACAAGTCACAAGAGGTGTTTTGAAACTTTTTAAATCTCCGTTGGTATCCTGATAGTGCATTTTTCCTCATTTTCAATGAAGGAAGTCGGAATAATGGATGTGTGTTAAGAAAGATCGCAAAACCGATGAAAGGTGTTCGCGTTTAAATACCTTTTCGTATTTCTGTGATCCTGATAGCAAATTTGCCTCGCATGGCATCTAAAACGCTTCCAAATTTGCAGATTTCTCCTACATAAAAATCACTGAAACGACGAGAGAGGTGTTATCGCCAGTAATTTGATTTTCTATTGGTGTGTCGAGTAGAATATTTTCTCTATGCCTCCTCGAGTCTATGTGATCCTGATAACATGGATTCCCATGACACTATAAAAGTCTGAATATGCAGACTTCGCCTATTGAAGATTTTATATCCGGATAGCAGAGGTGTTCTCGCTAATAATTTGATTTTGCCGTTGGTATCGGGAGAGGAATATCTGTCCTCGCGTTTCTGTGATCCTGATAACAAATTGCTTCTCATGGCCCGCAGTACTGCTATAAAATCTGAATGTGGAGATAAGATTGCAGAAACGACGAGATGGTTTTAGGCCAAACATTTGAATTTGGCCTTGATATCAGGATCACAGTACCTTTTCTATAACTTCTCGCATTTGTGTAATCCTGATTCCAAGTTGCTACTCATTGTTGATGCTTCGTAGGAAGGAAAAAGGATGTGCAGATTTTGGTTAAAAAATATTTTGTGTCAGGATCGCAGAATCAATAAAAGGTGTTAGGACTAAAACCTTGATTAGACTATTTATATCGAGAGCAAAATACCTCCTCGGGTTTTTCTGATCCTGATTGCAAATTTGCTTTGTATGGCACTCGAAAAGTTTCTCAATGAGCAGATTTCGCCCATTAAAGATGCATACGGATCACAGAAACGACGATAGAGGTGTTAGCGCCAGTAATTTGATTTTCCATTGGTATGTGGAGATAATATTCCTCTATGCCTCCTCATGTTTCTGAAACCCTAATAACAAATTACTTTTTCATGAAACTTAGAACTCGTACATATAAAAGTCTGAATGTGCAGAATTCGCCGACTGAAGATTTTATATCAGGATAGCAGAGGAGTAGAATATTTTTTATGCCTCTTCGCGTTTCTGTGATCCTGATAGCAAATTGCTTCTCATGGACCTCAGCATTACTACAAAATGTGAATGTACAGATTTCGACTATTGTATTACGATCGCAGAAACGACGAGATGTGTTCGCGTAAAAAAATTGAATTTGATATTGATATCAGGAGCACAGTACCTTTCCCATAACTCCTCGCAGCGTTATATCCACGAAGTTCTAGAACCCCATCTTTTACCCTATCTTGACACCCTGGCAGATCCAACTTTCCAACAAGATAATGCCCGACCACATGTTGCAAGAGTCACAATAGACTTCTTTCAACATAATGATGTCACATTGTTACCATGGCCACCAAGATTTCCCGACTTATCCCCAATTGAGCACGTGTGGGATATGATGGGTAGGAGATTGCTCAATTTGCAACGTCCTCCTCAGACTCTAGAAGCACTTCGAGAGGAGTTGGTGGTTGCCTGGAATGAGATACCACAGGAGGACATTGAGCACCTGATCAGAAGCATGCCTAAGCGCGTTGGAGAATGCGTAGCACATCAGGGTGCATCCACACATTATTAAAGGTCAAAGGGCTTTAAAGCAGTGCAATCATTTTGAAATTTTTATCATTTACTTATTATGCTTCATTATGTACTTATACAAAATTTTATTAAAATAAAACCATTTAAACTGGGTATTCAGATGTATATGTCACTTAGTATATAATCCTGATATCAGATTGCTACTCATTGTTGATGCTTCTAAGGAAGGAAGGTGGGTGTGGGGATTTCGGTTAAGAAAGATTTTGTGTCAGGATCGCAGACAACTTGATATGACCACTTATATCGAGAGCAAAATGCCTCCTCCTGATTCTCTGATCCTGATAGCAAATTTGTTTTGGTTGGCACTCGGAATGCTTCTAAATGTGTATATTTTGCGTATTACGGAAGCATTAGAAACTACGAGAGAGGTGTTAGCGCCAGCAATTTGAATTTCCATTGATATGTGGAGTAGAATAAATCTGTATGCCTCCTCGTGTTTCTGAAATCCTGATAACAAATTTCTTCTCATTACAACATTTATACATATAAAAGTTTGAATGTGCCGGTTTCGCCTATTGAAGATTTTATATCAGGATAGCAGAGATGTTCAAGCTAATAGTTTGATTTTGCCACTGATATCGGGAGTAGAATATTTTTCTGTACCTCCTCGTGTTTCTGTGATCCTGATAACATATTGCTTCTCATGGCCATCAGCACTGCCATAAAACCTGAATGTGCAGAAATAGAATATTGTATTAAGATCGCAGAAACGACGAGTTGTGCTTGCGCCAAAAATTTTAATTTGCTACTGATATCAGTAGCACAATTTTTTATAACACCTCGTATTTCTATAATCCTAATACCAAATTGTTCGATACTTCGAATGAAGGAAGATGATGGATGTGCGCATTTCGGTTAAGAAAGATTTTGTGTCAGGATCGCAGAATCGATGAAAGGTGTCCGCGCTAAGAAGAGCAACATACCTTTTCGTGTTTCTGTGATCTTGATAGCAAGTTTGCTTAGCATGGCACCTCAAAACGCTTCTGACCGTGCAGATATCGCCCATTAAAGATGTGTGTATATGTAGTAGAATATTTCTCGATGCCTTTTCGCGTTTCTGTGATCCTGATAACAAAATGCTTCGCATAACGCTCAGCACTTGTATAAAAATTTGAATGCAGGTTTCACTAAAGATTTTATATCAGGGTAGCAGAGGTGTTCATGCTAATAGCTTGATTTTGCCATTGATATCGGCAGTGGAATATTTTTCTATGCCTCCTCGCGCTTCTGTGACCCTGATAACAAATTGCTACTCGGCCCCTCAGCATTGTTATAAAATCTGAATGTGCAAATTTCGACTATTGTAGTACGATCGCAGAAATGTTGGGATGTGTTTGCACCAAAAATTTTAATTTGCTATTGATATCAGGAACACAGTACCTTTTCTATAACACCTCGCCTATTTATAATCTCCATGCCAATTACTCGTTTTCAATGCATCCAATGGATGTGTGGATTTCGGTTAAGAAAGATTTTGTGTCAGGATCGCAGAATCTATGAAAGGTGTTCGAGCTGAAAACTTGATTAGACCATTTATATCCAGATCAAATTACCTTTTTTTCTGTGGTCCTGATAGCAAATTTGATTGATATCAGGAATATAACATTTTTATACCTCCTCGCGTTTCTGTGACTTTCATTACATCAAGCCTCCTACGAAATTTTGAATGGACGGATTCCGCCTCTCGAAAAAAAAAATTGAATCTATCGTTGATATCAGGCAGAGTGTTTTTCCATACCTCCTTGCGTTTCTGTGATCTTGATAGCAAATCGCCGCAAGTCCGATGGCTAACCATGCAAGTTTCGCCTATTGAAGATGTATTAAGATTGCAAAAATGCCCAGAGGAGTTTGCGCAAAAATGGGAATTCAATGTTGGTATCGGGAGCAGTTTTTTCTATACCTCCTCGCATTTCTGTAATCCTGATTGCTTTTCATGCCACACAGCGCTCCTTATGCTTATTAAAGATTTCGTATCAGGATCGCAGAAACGACAAGTGAGGTGTGCGTCATATATTGGAATTTACCATTGGCACTGAGAGCAGCGTATTATTCCAGACCACCTCGTTTCTCTGCGATCCCAATAATAAGCCTTTCCGTCTCCTTTTGATGACGCAATTCTCCTTTACAGCAATGCGTTCCCGACATGAAAAAAGAAAAATCACCATTATCCCGCGACTTCGTCCGACCAATGTTCTTCTTCAAATGCTACAAACACAAGAAGTTGGAGGCTTGCATCATGAAGGACATGCGCGAAAAATTCTCTGGAGTGGGAGAGGAAGATTTTGAAACCGACCTGGATCTCAGAAGAACTGGCAGGTCCAGACAAATTGGAGAAGATAAAGAAGTTGAAGACTTATCCAATATTGTTTACGAGTTTTTGTATGCCGGGGATGGCGGAGTTGACCTTGACGCAATGCTTTAAGTTATTTTATTTATTTTACGGAAAAGGGCTGCTATTTTTCAGAATCAGTGCAGGCTAAGACAGTTTTTCGAAATATACCTGTTCCAGATGTCAGTTATCTCTAAGTGAACACTATAATCGCAGCTGTAAAAAATTGAGGGGTATGACCTCAAGCGGGAGCAAACATCACTGAAAACAAGGCATTACTTCAAATAACTTATAAGAATTTGATTATTGATACTTCATGTAACTAGAACATGTGTAGTTGTAGAGGGAAACAATTTTTTGAATTTCTGCAATGGAATAGTTTTAAAAACAGAATTTTATTGCAGAAATTTGATACGATATATTTATTTTTATTTTAAGTGGGAGCAATATTTGATTGCAATGCTTTAACAAAGGTACTATTTAGAATATTGTAATGTTTACAAATAGATATATTTGAAAGAATATTTTGTCTTATTTCTTTCCTTTTTCTTGTCTTCAACAGTCAGTAAATAGAACAGGTGGAATACTTTTGAGCGAATAAAAAAAACAATGTTCGTTGACACTTCATTTGAAACACAATATATTTAGAACATCAATCATGCAATTTTCAAAGATTTATATAATATGGGGTCAATAAATATGAGTATTTAAACATATATTTCTGATATATACTGCACGACACATATAGATATAAGACATCAAATTATTGTCATGTTTTTTCTTAAATCTAATTATTGTCGCATTTAGACACTTATTGTTGTATCACACTACACAAACGTTTACGCCTAAATAAAGAGCTTCTAGAATAATTTCCAATATATTAGAAATCAACACTCTCCTTGATGTTCGAAATGTTCGCCTCACAGTTGCACAAAAAATGATAAGAGGATAATACTGGCAACAAGTAAAACATTACTTCATGTTGCATGTTTGATACATCAAGAGGTACGAGATTTACTCCCATGATTTGACGAAAAAATTACAGTGTATGGGAGGGAATGGGGTGCACATCTACTTCTTAAACCATCTGAGCAGACAGGTGCTCCATTTCGTGCCATGCAAATACGGTATAACGGATATCTATTCTAAAAATTGTTGTAATAAATTCATTGTTAAGGGGTGTTCTCTTTTCTGTCACTTAGAAAATTTCGAAGATAAAAACCCATGGGAATTATATGTCACAACTCTTGGGTGTCAATACAAGGAACCACATTAATATATTGATCCATACAATTATCTAAACGCTACTTTAATATTATTGTCAGTAATTCAGATCTTGGAATGTGTTGAATATTCATGAAATAAATAGTTTTAAATAAAATAATAGTACAATTAATTTAACACTGCTACACAAACATAACAAAGATATAGAAAACACGAACAATTTTGTCTAAAATATAAAGTTACTGCATAATGTATAAGGAAACTAATACAAATGCATTTAAAATTAAATAACAAATTGACTAAAATTGGAAAAAATACGTAAGTACTAGATAACTACTATTTATAATGGAAAAAAGATCAACGTATCTTAAAATAAGATTTGGAAAAATAGTTCCACTAGCACTAGCTTCAGTCAGTAAAGCTCGTGATATTTTCAGCAGTACAGTAAATATTATTGTCAATGCACGTTACTTACAATTACCTGAAAATTTGGAAGGTCAAAACATACGTTCACATGCAAGAAGAAGTCTAAAAATATATTAAATCTTGCGCATAATTGTTCATTATGATAAATGATCGAGATTAACGTATTTTACCAGAAAACAGACAACTTAACACTATTTTCGCGAGATTGAACGAGATAAAATGAGATAATGTAGTATCAGCTATGAGAATCTGTCACAGCTATTTCTCCTTTCCGCAATAATTCAAAATCTACTTTGAAAAGGTTAGGGTCTCATGAATGGTGATGTGCTGATATACAGTTGGCTACAGCGCCATCTATGAGATACCAACCTTTTCAAAGTAAGTTTATGATTATTACAGATAGGAGAAACAGCTGTCGAGTAAAGTATTAGGATGGCTATCTTCAGGTAGAATGGCATAATGTAGCTATACATTCATTTGAAAAAAAAGTGTTTTAAGAGAAAATAAATAATCGAGATTTTCGCAAAATTAATCATTTGCAAAATACTTTACAAAGAGTTCAACTTTATTTGAGGATAATTTTTTAGTTATGTCAATTTTAGATATATAATCCGATGATATACTTATTTCATTTTACAAAAGAGGAGTTTCTGTATGACTATTTTGCTATGATTTGAAGAATAACCTTAATGTTTGCACCTATTCCAAGTGCTAACAAATCCTAATAATTGATAACTAATTCTCGGATATAAGGATCTAATTTTATACAAATTCGAATGTTTCTGTTGTATTGCAAAAATCTTAGCTTTTTGCAAAAAAACTTAGATAATACAGACAAATGTGCAAGAATAAAGGAATGTATAAAGATACCCGTCATCAAAATCAGTATTCCATAGCAAACAATTTAACTTCATGGATCCAATCCCCATACCCCGTGCCTCATTTTTTTATCTCAATTAGTGATTTATCAAGCACTGGTTTGTAGGTCAAAAGTTTTGTATACCTTTTCAGCAACTTCTTCCAGTAGCAACTTACATCCTTCATTTTCAGATTGTTCCAAATCATGTTGTAACTGAAAAGGAAAAAAGGCGTTAAGTAGGTTGACTCCCTATAACAGAGAAATCATTCGGATCACGTCAGTCAAACAGGTCCATAGACATTCTTTCCCTGCCCTAGGGCAGGTAGTTCAGCTTGAAACGTCGCCTCTTCCTGATACCTATCTCGGTCAGAGATAAACCTTCTAACACTCCGATATAATCCGCCATCCCCAATTTTTTTGCCCTGATTTTTTCTTCAAAAATGATCTGAAACCTCCGAAAACGAAGTCTCTCATCTCTAAGTGAGAAGGATTGTCAATGACCATGTCTATCATTTCTGGAAGAAGAGCAACATCTACATACAAAATGATGAAAAAACATTTTTTTGATAGTACTCTTACAAACTTACCCATCTTCAGCAATCTTTTTAGCAACATCATCATGCTCCTTAATAAAATCCAGTAATTTTTCCAACTGTTCCTTAGTTGCATTTGAGTCCACTGGAACATAGTGGACCCAAGGTTTCAAAGCTGGATAGAAGAACTCAATCCATTCATTGCCAACATGGAACACAACAGATTTGCAAAGAAACATATGCTTAAATCGAAAACTAGCTGCGACCCCTCTGAAGTTGAAGAGATACTTGTACTTGCAGTGCTCTTCGAATGAGACTTCTTTGGCTGGGGGAGCATGAAGAGTATCCTGTAACATAAAGGCACAGCTATATCAAGATAAAATCGATGCAATTATGTATGCAACATTTTTGGCACAGTGCAAATAATACATTCTGTGGTAAATACTGATGGAAAATTGACTTGAAACCTGATTTTATATTATTTGAGGTTGTAGAAAAGATATACAGTGTACGAAACAGACGCATTTACTGGCAGCTCAGTTTTTTTTTTGAAAAAACGTCGATTTTGTTTTCGAGGGGGACACAAGATTGGCAAAAAATCACGTTAGCACGTCCAGCCCCTTAAGCGGGGGTGACACCACCCCCAAAATCTTAAATGGAAATTGGGGGTCGAGTGATACGTTATTTTAAAGGTCTTTCAATTGCCTTTATAATGATATAAAATTAATGTACTTCAGTTCACTAGTTTTGAAGATTTATTGATTTAAAGCTTAAAACTAATACATCATCATTAGTGGAGATCAATACATTTGGCAGCAAAGTAATTTAAAAATGAAGAATGAACTGACCCGTTAGGCAAGTAAATGTTGAAAATGGCCACCATGACTCTCCATGCAATAATAAAGAATTTGTTCAAAACGTTGCCGCACATTTTGCAATATTTGAGGAGTAATTTGAAGGCACTCATTTACAATTCTTTGTCGCAGGTCTTCTAATGATATTGGCTGAGTAGCATAGATTTTGCTTTTTAAATTACCCCACATAAAGAAATCCAGAGGTGATAAATCTGGCGATCTTAAGGGCCATTCAATGGCACCTCTTCTACCAATCCATCGATATGGAAACGTCTGATCTAAGTATTGTCGAACACGTAATGCGTAATGTGGTGGGGCACCATCCTGTTGGAACATCAACCTATTCGCAATGTACCGCCAATCATTATGATTTTCAATTATGGCTGTTAATGCAGGATCTATGGCGTGTTCCAGTAATTCCAAATACACTTCACCAGTCAAATTTCCAGGTAAGAAAAAAGGACCAACTAAATGATCGCCAAAAATACCAGCCCAAACATTTAATTTTTGTGGCTGCTGTGTCTGAACCTCATGATAAATTCTGGGATCAGAATCGGACCAATATCGGTAGTTATGACGATTTACTACGCCATTTAAGAAAAAGGAACATTCGTCGGAAAAGCAAGTGTTGAATAGAAAATGTTCATCGTTTATAATTCGTTCACTCGTATCTTCACAAAATTGTAATCGCCGATCAAAATCGTCTTCATTAAGTTCTTGTACCAGGTGAATTTTATATGGATGAAAACTATGGGCCTTCAGAATTCGTTGGACAGTACGTCGACTAACATCACACAGTCTACAATTTGCGGGTACTTAACGTAGGATCTACATAAACTTGCCCGAAAATCCCCACTTCTATTGCTTCGTTCCTTATGGGATTTTCAATGTTGCGTTTTTATTGGCGACTGACCCAGTTTCCCGAAATTTAGCTACAAGTTCTAGAACATATTTTCGATGCACGTTACTGTTCTCATGTCGCTCATTAAATATTTCTGCTGTTCTATTAGCGCACTGATTATTTCCGAAAAATAGTTCGATAATTTCAACTCTTTCTGCTGAGGAATATACCATGATTAATTTATGTAATAAAGCGTTACAAGTTATTTTAGCAACAGAGTTTGGTCAAATCAATCGCAAACTATGTACTAAATTCCTATTTAAAATAAGTACAAAATATTTCCTTATCTTTCTTCAAGAAATAACTTTTTTGCCACAAAAAAACGCTCCAATAGCTATTTTCAACAACAAACTGATAAACAAACCATGGGCATAGTCAAATTTCTTTATAAAGTAGTAGAAACTAATCTGATGTACCTATTAAAGTCTACTTTAAGCTTTAAATCAATAAATCCTCAGAACTACTGAACTGAAGCTCATGTATTTTACATCATTATAAAGGGAATTGAAGGACCTTCAAAATAGGGTATCACTTGACCCCCTTTTATTTAAGATTTTAAGGTTGATGCCACCCCCGCCCAGGGGGCTGCACGTCTTAACGTGATTTTTTGCCAAACTTGTGTCCCCCTCGAAAACAAAATCGACAGGTCTGAGCCTTTTTCCAAAAAAAAACTGCCAGTAAATGCGTCTGCTTCGTTTTCGATGCGCCACCCTGTATAATATCAAGCTATCAAGTATCTATTACTATATTTTTTTCTTACTGCATCAGATTTCCAAGCTTGATTCTTAGTATACTGAGCATCTACCAAATCTGGTTTTTCTCTGGATAGAAGTACCAAAGGGTCTCTTTCAGAGCTTGTTCTGGACCCTCTAAAGAATGCTTTTGCTATTTTATCTTCCCACTTTGTAGTGTTGCCTAAGGTTCCTAGAATGTTTCTGTGTTGATCCCACCTACCTGAAAATGATTTATGATCTATTGATTAGAATCTATTGATAAGATTAGATGATAAGTATGAATGTGAGTGTTTTACGAATTTTAAATATTTATTTGAAACTTTTAAAGATATCAGTAAAACTCACTCATGGAGGAAAATACTAAGACAAACAAAAATGGCTTTGTTGGGAATAACATTTCCGTAAGACTATTTTTATCCTTAAGGCGATCTATCACAGTATGTGAGTATATTTTCTTTCTTACCTATGCCACGGGGATATAAGCTTATAGCTGGACCACCTTCCCAAAATGCCCATGCAGGATAGAGAATATCATTGTATTGAGATGTCTTGCTAAAAGAAAACACAGGTCCAAATAGCCCATAGTTTTTATGGATCTGTGGCCAGTCTCTTGGATTAAGTATAAACTCGGTATCAGGTAGTTTTGGCAAGAGTTCAAGTAGAAAATGTTCAACACCTGCACATCTTGCTGGAAACATGCAAGATTGCTCTCTATATAGGTGGTGATCGATTATTTGATATTTTGTACCCCTAAAATGATAGTGTAAATATAGAATTATGCATTTTAGACTGGCACATGTTGCTTACTTGGAATTCACACTATCTAATAGTTTCTTTGTTATACCATCTCCAAAAGTTTTCAAATCATTGGTAATAACATTGGCATGGCAAGAGCACTTTGATTCTTTACAAGGAATATACTGTTCTTTTGCTTCCCTTATAGCTTGCAAAAACTTTTGGAATTCAGCATTATTTTCTGTAAAAGAAAATCGCTTAATAACGATTTATTGTTCGTAAAGAAGGTAAACATACCTTTTGAGTATTTATTGATTTTTTCTTCATCGCATTTACCATCTGGTTTCGTACAAAATTCCTCAGATGCTCCGGATGGATATAATGTTATCAGCAGAATGTAAACTTTTAGAAATACAAGAAAAAATAACTGGATATTGATCATTTTTTGTATAAAAATTTGAAAATGTTTATTTAGGTTATGTAGATCTGTCAAAAATTGATTGATGATGACAACAGAGTTAAAGCAATTTTCCGTGAAAAAGGACTTCCTACCAGTCGACTTTGTGACGTCATGCATGTGGACTTACACCAAGGTAGAATGACATTAAGCTGGCAACGGACGGTGGGCGATAATATAATAAATATTATAGTCGTACAATACGCTATAATATTATATTATCATTGCAACGGACTACAGAATATATATTTTCATATCTTTCTAGCAGTGGTGCCGAACCTACCGATTTTTCAGCATTTCTGTGTGTAGGCTGATCTGTGCTGTACACAGTGTATTTAATTAACAAGGTATCCCCCATATGTTAATCTGCCGCGCTTGAGTAAATCCTAAAATCCCCTCTTGGGTTTCTCTACTATTAGCTTTCAAACTACCTATGTATATAAAAATAAATATTTACAAATTCATACCGTCGGATATATTGCAATCAGCGATGATACTCCTCCAAGCTGCATCTTTAATCTCATTATTTTCATACTCGTTCGAGTCTACCTTCCATAAACATGGTTGTTTTGTTACACTTTCAATGAAATACTCCATTTTGTCTATTGCGAATTCCGAAGTGCAAGAACAAATAATAAAATAGCAACATCACGCCAAGCCGGTTGTCAGCAAAAGCGGTTCGTGGTCATTTTCGGGTGACGAGACGCAAGAGGGGTATATATATATATATATATATATATACAGATACGTAATATATCGCTGGGATGTAAATATATCTTATAGCGTCCGTGCGTGGCGTCTCAATAGGTTTACACATCGAGCGATATTTCTGTAATATGCAGGATATAATATATATTATATTATCGCCCACCGTCCGTTGCCAGCTTTAGGTGTTAACATTCTCATGTTATATGTACCACTAGAGATAGCATTCAAAACATATACATCTTTGATAACACCTACTATAAATCTTTATTAAGACCAGTTAATCTATGACGTCATTCTAGTTGAACTGGTTAGCCAAGTCATACGGCAGTCCTTTATTATGAGAAGACGCAGTTACATCCTGTCATTCTAGAGGACACGGAACGATTTTTGATCACAAAGTAGGAAGCAAAACGGAGAGAAAATAACTATCTATTGAAGGTTACATGAAAAGAAGGCATCTATTTTTGCAAACTGAATACACTGCTCGACAAAATTAATATTGTTTTAGGAAGTATTTTTTGGTGATCCGTTGCTTTAAATACTCTGGGCCCGGTTTTTTTAAGAGGACAAGCATTTATCATTTTTAAATAAAAAGATATGATATAGGTTTAAACTACAGCTTTCTATGAAAATAGAACTAAAATCTTATGGTACCATGTATAATTCAAAATGGACAATTGTTATATAAAATCAAACAAAATAAATAATATAGGTAAATCAGTAGTCTATGTTTCCATTTTGTGCAACATTATAAAAACCCATGGTACAATAGAAAAGAGGACTGATGGCTGCTACCAGAAGCCCAGCTCCTAGCATTGGTCTGTATAGAATCCAAGCTGTAGCTATCACCAGTAAGGAAGTTGACACCGAAAGCACTAAGTTTCCAAATGAAGTTGCTTCTCCTGTTAGAACACTGTTGAGGATTGGTAACTGGACAACTGAAAATAAGATTGTGTATTCCAAAAATGCTTGCTTTACATAAAAAATAAGCGAACTTACACATAATTTTCAGCAGTTTTGCTAGACAGACACATGAAGCATACAGAATAAATATTCCAATTCCCCTTAGCTTCCACGTTTCAATTCTGGCATCAAAATGTTCTGCAGAAAACATTTGGTTAATATTTAAGTTTCCATATCTCAGTAAAGCTATTTGATGTCCTCTTGTTGTTTCATATGGAACCAGAAAACCATTATCTTGTCTAGCAATTATTGTTGCCTGAAATATATTTACCCACTATAATCTGTACCAGCAGTATCACAATGCAAGCATTGGGAGAAATGTAAATGGCAACATTTACTAAGGGCAGAATCGTCAGTCGTTCCTTTATGACCTCCTTGATTTTCATAGCATTTTCTCTTCTTCAGAAAGGCTCTGGTATTTCTAGATTTCAAAAGTTCCATGTCAGCGTCCTCCTATTGTGAGGTTGTCTTTTATTTTTGAATTGCAGGACATTTCAGGCTGATAAAACAGATGATATAAGTCAAAAGCATGAACAAGTTGATGCAAATATATATTTGTAACATAACCTCAAAATAGAGTGCTCACACAGAACAGTAGAAAACTATGAAAATCAATGCCATAAAGGTGTACAATTGTAGGAACAACTGATGATATGGCCTAGGTACTGCTCACTTACAAACATTGAGAATACCAAGCACAAAACTTACTGGTTCTCCTGCAGCACCAGCATAGTAAAACTGTACCCTAATATCTCCAACTTGTGGGTTCCAAATATCCTCACAGTGATAATAGATACCCATATGTAATTTTACATCATGTCTTTCAGGCCTTTCATCACTTGTTACTTCCACCCAATCATCAAACTTTTCTTTAATTTGTCTGCCAATCAATAGGGCTCCAACCCTTACTACTGGAGCAATGTATGTTACTGTTGGCAGTGGAATTTCTCTGTGAAAAGGTCAAATTGCTGAATATGTAATTTAAAGATTTAGTAGATGTATATATCGACTTACTTGGGGTTTTCATGGCCATGCCTAACATAAAAAGCACTACTATCTACAAGTCTATCCCTCCATTCTGTTACATAATAATAGTCACTAATTGAGCCTCCACCAGTCATTTCATCATCATCTCTGGGACTAAAAAGATAAAACATTCAGTAATGGCATCAAGTAAATTGAATCTGTATTTGATGTGCACCATTTTTCCAGACAAAATGTATTGTCTTCAATGTGAAAATCTCACTTAATTAATAGAAACAGGTAGCACAAATATCCATACGTTCTTTCTTCAACCCATTGGTACATTTGAACTCTTCTCTTTAATTTCACAGCCTGCACAGCAATTCCATATTCCATTTCTGTCAATGGTTCATCAATATCTAGTGGTCCACTAATATGAACCACTCTACCATCAAGTTCTGGTCGCAGGGGTTCATAAGGGCTCAAAGTTATGGCACTGTTATAGGTTTCATCTAGGGAGTGAGCATGATGAACAGCTCTACCCTGAAGAGAAAAAAACCTATAAAATAAAATCGTTACAATGGTTTTGAAATAAAAAATGTGTAAGAGGAGCAACCGTCTAAGGGCGCAGGCAGAAAAGGGGTAGAATAGGTGCCCTAGAGTAGAAAAAAAATTGTATTTCAAGCCAGATCGATTTCATAAGTTTTACCTCATTCCAGGTTAACAACCATACTCCTGTGAAAAAAGGCCTATCCCTATAAGGGAAGTCAACCAGCTTCTTTGGAATTCCTCTAATAACCCAGCCATTAATTTGTTCTGAAATTGTTAAAGTTCACATTTTTTTTTCGAAGAGGGTCCTTGTCGACGCTCAATTATTTTTCTATAATTTATGAGTTCAAATTGTCACGCATGCTCCCAGTCAGTAATGGTTCTAGGACAAGAGTCTTGTTTGTCAGTGTGTCTGCCACAATTTTTCACTTCCAGTTAAATAACCTGCAAAGCAATGAAGTAAAGCTTTGCAGCTGATGTGAGTATATCATGAATATTTCATGTGATTACCTTCCGTATTTTAGATATTTTCAGGATAATATTCCTTATTTTTCATTTCTCCGTGGTGATTTTTGTATCGATTGATTACATATTACAAAACTGCATCTTACTGTGACAGCTGACATTTGCAGATTGCACGTGCTGGAGGGGAAAGGGCGGTTCATTAATGGGAAAAGGAGTGTCGTGCATTGAACCACGCCTCTTTTCCTACTTATAGCTCCTGAATGTGTAGTAAGCTTGGCAACATTGAAGCAAAAGGCTCGTTCCTATATCTGTTACGAATGTGTTCATGCATAGTGCCTCCGTTCGCCTTTTCACAGGGGGCGTACAATATGTTCTATTCCACTCAAATTGGAGTATTCGTCATGACGAATTACTCTAGCCACAAAGGTCATGTGTGCCGTTATATGTCTCCTCAGCTTCAATGCAGGGCGTTATTGCACCTATAGGAGTATATAAAAAATCAGGGATCCAAATATAAATAGTTCTTTATGTATACCAAGGTTTTCAATTTTTATCAATGTGACGTTATTGAAATTGATTTGAAATTTGAGAGATTCGTTTTGTTTCAGCTTAGCTCGAAATGCGCGCCTTGGTAGTTTCAATATGGGTATTCATAAATTTGGTATTTTTTGGAATGTGCGGTTATATGTATCTACTTTGGTCTCAGTATTGGGTTAGTTTGGACGCAGAAGAGAAAAGCACTACTTCCACATACGACCAACAAATATATTTTTATAATAGAGGGTAAATATTTTCGAATTCAAGTAGAAGATATAGTATAATTTTCAGTTGAGCATTTTAAGTGTTCCTTAAAAATTATTTTTAATTCCTTTTCAGATATTATCCTTCAGATGCTAAAAATCAAACTGTAACTATTCCTGATGTGAAAGACTTACTAAAACAGAGTCAATCTTTAGTTAAAGACAACGCCAGTTCAGTTACCCTAATCAAAAATAGTATGCCCAGGTAGGTTCTATAATAATACCCCCTTTGCAAGTTAGGTTGCATATTGTAGATCTCATATAACATCAAAAAAACATATCTCACTTTCGGATTTTTTAGCGATTACAATACCAAGTGGCGCCAGTGTCCATATGCCAGTGGCGTAGTTTGAAAGTTCAATAAAAAAGTTACCCCGAAAAATGTTTGGAATTTCTAGACGAAAGACCTTTCCATTTACCCTCAACCATATGGTTCCGTTGTGAAATCCGAGTTTCCCTTAAAAAAATACAGGGTATCTTTTTGGATCTACAATAGAAGCGTATGCTTTTTTGAAATTACTATAAAATACTTTTGTAGGTTTCCCAATTTGCAGCCGCAAAATTTGGAACTCGGTACGAAAAAATACAGATGCATCGAAAGCGATACGCCAAACGACTGTGATAGAAAAACGTCTGAATTTAAAGATAACTTAATTAAAGAACTAAGAAGAGTTTTTACCGAAGAGACTAATGTTCTTAAACCTGGCAACGAAAATCGGTATAATGTACAATTCAGAGGAGTTAGAGGTAATTAGTAAGGCATATTTTTCATCATTGAACATAATCAGAGGCCATTCAAGTAATATGTCAGCACTAATGGCGGGCGAGGTTTCGCTTTGTTTATTTTTGATGACATAGCGTTAGGGTTTGGAAAGTGATTACGTCAGCGATACTAATTTTTATACTTTTTGGGATTATCTACAAAATTTGTCTGATTTCAATGCATTTGGCAACACTACTGGTCTATGCTGGAAGGCGTAACGCATCTTCAGGGATTCTCCAAATATGGATACGCTTACTCCTACAATTGTAGGACGACTTTATGGCCTCCTTGATTTTCTTTTCTCTCCTTCAGCAAGACTGGAAAGTTTTTATATTTCTACTATTCCGTGTTAGTGTCAGCGGTCTCCTATTTTGAAGTTTTGCTTTCTTTTTGAATTGTATGAAATTTTAGGCTGATAAAACAAATGATATAAATCAAACGCATGAAAAAGCATACAAAAAGATATTTGTAATATAACCTCAAAATAGAGCGCTGACGGAATAGTAGAAAACTATGAAAATCAAGGAGGCCATAAAAGCGACCTACAATTTGTCAGAACTACTGGCGATACGGTCCTTAGTCACAGCCTTAGTGAGGAACTAGTAGAGGTAGTTAATAGTTGTAAAAAATCGCCTTGCGTAACACTTGAATGGCCCCTTATTAGTTGCGGAATTATTTCATTTTAAATGACAAAATATATTTTCTAGGCAATTATATGGACAAAACTCCAAGTCAATTGAGGTGTGACTTGTTAAATGTACCGTTCACCACTTTAAAGAGGTTTGATGTACGATCCCACATTTTAAAAGATTATTTACCGAAAAGAGGCTTCTTCGAGAACAAACGTTTCAACACATGTGCGATTGTCTCCAGCGCTGGAGCCTTGAAAGGATCTAATCTCGGAAAATTCATAGGTAGGAAATTTAATTAGGTATCTGTCATATTAAACAACACACAAACTCCGTTCACGCTGTAGAAACGGAATTCACACGGCTGGATTCCAGACACAGTCACTGACAAGTCAGGAAGGTCCAGTCCCGTGAAGAGAGATTCGCCCCGGGGTGATCCCAGGGCAGGAATTATCCCATGTGTCGGCCTATTCAGTTTTTATAAACCGATAGAAACCCCACCGACGGCGAATAATACAGCTTTGCAGATTATGCGTTATTCGCCGACGGTATGCACATTTCTCAGCGGATGAGGTTTAGGATATCTATTGACCTATATGGCGCCTATGTGGCGCGTGTAATATGAGCCTTTGTTTTATCGGTCATAAAGGCTATGTCTAGTAGAATGCCTGGAAAGCTATAAAAATATTTCTCCCATCACATTTTATTTTAGATTCTCATGATTTGGTTCTTCGATTCAACAATGCTCCAACAAAAGGCTTCGAAGAAGACGTCGGTCGCAAAACTACCGTTCGTCTTTTGAACTCCCAGGTCGTCACCAAAGATCAGTTCAAGTTTTTGAAATCTAATCTTTTTAAAAACATTACGATCGTTGCTTGGGACCCCAGCAACTTCACTTCTACCCTATCGGAATGGTTGGCAAGGCCAGAATATAACTTGCTACCTAATTATATTGAGTTCAAGAAGTCCAACCCAAAGGCGAAGGTGTATTTGGTGAATCCGTTGGACGTGTGGAGAATGTGGGAGTTTCTGCAGGAGAATTCGCCCGGAAGGTTGAGAAGGAATCCGCCCCTCTTCAGGATTTATAGGTAAGCCGTAAGCAATAAGGAGCTCTCTTCCTGCACAAAATTGCATTTTTGATAGCTTACATCCACTTTACTTCCCACGCCATGTTGTGTGGAATGCAAATTTGCTTTCTGCAACATATTTGCTCTAAAATGAGTGTTTAAAATATTCTTATAGCCTAGTTTACAACATCTTATAGGGCAAATTTTTAACTGTTGCATAAATGTTTATACAACTATTTTATACGGCATATTTGCACGTAGTCAATGGTTGTGTTGTGGCATCCATGGTAACGTTTATAAAACAAACCCGAGCCTTGTTGTTTTGCTGTGCAATTTACTACTTTAGCCAACAAATTGCTCCCAACGGAAGCACTTATACAACTGTTGTTTAGTAACTGTTAAAGGCTGTACATATGCTAAATATGTTGGTAAACAACTTCACCATAACCTAACTTTCTGCTGTCATATTTTTGTAAAATGCCATAACCAATGTTTTAAGACAAACAACGCATGCATATTGGTTCAAAAGGTTTTATCAACTGTTCAAACAGAAGATATAGATCTGGTACAAATTCTGGTAAATCATTCGACTCTGTCGGTATTTCATTTCAGACATTTGTCAAATTGTTGTATAACACCTGCAGGCAACACCAAAATATTCTAATAACCTAAAGACAACATGGACGATGCCATGATTGTACACAACCACCCGCCATATTGGGCAAACATTTATTCCTCTATTTAATATTAAATATATTATGTTTCAGTTCGAAATTACAGATATAAAAGTAAACATTAGTGTAATTGTGTCTAATATAGGATTTGTGGAAGATTTAACGCAGATAAGTTCAGTTTCCATCTTCAAAATCTAGACATACTTTTGATCATTGTCAAAATATGAATCAAATACGAAGCCCGAGAAATTGGGTAACTAATTTGCACGATAATCACAATAAAATTTGCTGCGCAAGTAATTCAATAGCCCTATATCACAGTGTAGAAGTTATCATATACCTGTGTATGAAATTCACAATGGCCGATATGCCGATATGTAAGTAAACAAGATGACTGTAATGTGTTAGTTATATATTCTTCACTTTCAAAGTCACACTGGTCAATCGATTATCCCACGGTAGTTTGTATGTCGTTGTCTGTCTGTCCACTAATCCTTGGCCGGCCACCGCTATAACTTGGAAAGTTACTGATTGGATTTTGATGAAATTACCACGCAAGGTACAACATGCCAAGAACGAAACAACTTTCCAGATTTTGAAAATCGGTCCAGTGACGGCGAAGCTAGGTGTAATAAAATTTATTCAAACCTCGTTTTTTCAGAAAAAAAGTGTGTAGGTGTTGTAGGGGCTAGCGTCCTTCCGACCAAATGACGTTTGACTCCATAACCTCATTTTCAGGCATGAAACTTCTGCTAGATGTGTGCAAATGGATCGACTTCTTTGAGTACGTCCCTTCAGCAAGAGCCACGAAACGTTGTCACTACTACGATCCTGAGAACAACCCCCGCCTGTACATTTGGTGTATGGCATCCCTTAGCGGCAGAAAAGTTACTTACGTATTACATTAACAGTGCCAGTGATAAAGATGTCTTTCAAAAAGGATTCGCCAGGATCGCGGGACTTGATAGCAGTGGCTGTGGAGAGTTGAAGGCATAGTGTTGTGATCTTGTGATGTATTTGTTTTAGTAAAAAATGTTGTGAAATTCGATTTACGATCTTTACCATTCTTCTGAGTAGCAGGTAGTGCAAAATACCATTCTAGAGGTGTATAAAATTAAGTTGATAGGCCTGACTCAGAGGCACAAGATTTCCGAGTGCAGCTACATATCACATATGACCAGTACAGACAACAATAAAGGTGACTGTACGGAATTGTGATAGGGAATAACCAAGGAAAATTAGGCAGTTCCCCTAAAAAATGTCTAATATTCCTGAGCTAATCCGAATCCAAATTTCAAACTCTGTGGAAAAAGATAATCACCTCTAATCTCTATCTTAGATGTTCAACAGGAGGATATTGAGGTTTTCTTGATATTTAGATATGGTATTATTGTATATTTCCCAACATTCACGATCCTCAGAAAATATAGTCATTTTAACCAATAGAATATATTACGCAAAAAACGTTCAAAGAAATAGAAAATTACGAATATAGAAAATAAGTTCGGATAGGGCCCATAGGTATCGGCAGGGGGAAAGGGTAAGGGGTGGTGGAGGGAGTCAAAGATAGGTGAACAGGCCAAGAAGATGATTGATATTTTTTCAAAATCATAAATGTTGATCTCAACATATCAAGATGAAAATGTTAGTTTTATTTTTTTAAGTTTTTCCAGAATCTCGGAGTGGCCACCCACAAAATATCTTGAAAGAAATGTAACTGTTTCGAAAAAAACGGACAACTTTTTCGTGCTTGTCAGTGGTCTGAGGGGATCCACATAGACTTATATTTTCTACTAGAATTGTGGAAAGGGTACAACTTTTTAGAAAATTATGCAAAAAACGTTGTTTTCACCTTAGGAACTATAAAGTATGATAGCGGCAAGAATGATTTCGAGTATTATCTAGTTTTATTTTTTTGAAATCAACATGTGTCTGACTATGGACAACGCCAAAGATGCGTTTTCTTGTTTGTAAGAAGGAAGGTAACGTTTCTTTCCATACATTTTGTGATTCGTCACAAAATAAATATTTGTGTATATCTCTTCATACAATCCGAAACGACCATTGAATTTTTAAAACAGGTTTTAAATGTTGGCTGACATCTATGAGTTTAAAAAAACACACACCGAATTTTTCAAAACATCGATGTTCAATATTTAATCGCAGGCCTCTGGGTCCCCTCTTATAAATGGCACTAGAATATTATGATGAACAAATTACATAGAGAAATTCCCAAGTGATGAAATATAGAGATTCTTCGATTCCCTTATGAACTTTTAACAAGCGAAATTAGTAGTAACATTTTGGTTTGTATCCACCAAGTTAATAATGATAAATGGTTTTTAAAAAACATAAATTTATTGTAATATTCCCTACAAAAACACCTTAAATCTACTAATATCTAGTAGTGTTCTTCCTGCCCATAGTGATCTGACAATGTGTGATCATTTAGCTTATTTTTATTAAACATCCTTCGCAAAACCGTTGTTTTACTAAAACCTTTCTGTTATCCTGAAATTGTTCCCCAGATAATATCTGTTGCAAAAGCATATAGAATCTGTCCGACATATTCGAATCATTCCAAATTGAGTCCTATTCTTGAGTCTCATTTGAACACTATAGTTATACGTGCAGTACATACAATACAACAAAAAACCTGAAACAGAACACCGACATATTGATGACGAAGGAATTAGGGACTGACAAGCCTTTGCATGTACGTGAAAATTACAAATCACGTGTAGTTTTCACCGCGGTTATTATACCCTATTCGTCGTCCATTTACGCGGCAAAGCGGCAGCCGCCTAAGCGTTACAATAGCTGTTGGTCATCCGGCCATAAAACTACGAACAAGTGCAGGATTAGACAGGATAGAACTCAGGCTCGGGGTATCACCGGCACGCCGATGTCGGCAGTTGCTGTTTATATTCGGTGCAGAAACATAACGTGTTTATACGTTAGCATGTTGTCTACGGATACAGTAGATGAAACTGAGAATATTTCTCCCAATGTTTCCTTCAGCCATGCGTCCTCCTCGAAAACGTGACAAGAAGGGACATTCGAATATTCAGGCAAAAGAAAATTGTCCTTAACGTTTATACCATTGAATTGGCAAGACAAGCCTTCTTAGATTGACTAACCACTGGCCTAAAGAATCCGTCAAGTACGTGTATCTAAGCAATTCGTCATTTGTGTTGTAAACATGGTGATAAGTAGAATGAATCTATGAGCCCATGCTGAAAACTTAGCTACGCTAAGCTTAGCTTTATCTGGTAGATTTGGAATCAACAGCTGTTAGATACTATGCTTGTATTATTATTAGTTTTCTTGAATACTATATGAAATAATTATTTCCAGGAAAAGGAAACTGATTTGTTATCTGTCACATTGGCAGTGAAGATGGCTTTTTGCCCACTGCCCTATGGGCATTTGAGTCAAATAAAACGACCTAGTACCATGAAGAAATGGACGAGAGTTCATTTGAACGTTGGTCTGAAGAAACAAACCCAAAGCTTCACGAGAATGCCGTCATTGTGCTTGATAATACTGCATGCCACACTAGAGAACTAGAAAAAATTCCCACAATGTCCAAACGAAAGGCAGAAATTCAAGAGTGGCTCTTATCAAAAGACATTAGTTTCAATGAAAATATGATCAAAGCAGAACCTATCTATCAAGTCAGGCAGCACAAATATAAATAAAATCTTAATGCTATTGACGAAATGGCTACAAACCAAAATAAGACCATTTTATCACTGCTAATTAAATCCCATTGAAATGATTTGGCCAAATATAAAAAACTATGTGGCTTCAAACAATAGCTCATTCAAATTTTTTGACGATCAAAATTTGTTTTATGAAGCTGTCAACAGAGTGAGGGTAAACAATTGGAAAGACTGTATCCGTCATGTTCAAGAGGCAATCGAAACAAAGATGTGGGATCTGGACAATATGATCGATATTCAAATTGAAGCTGTAGTAATTGCAGCGAATAAAGAATTGTGAAAAGTATGTGCACTTCTTTCTATAAAAATAATCATTTGTTTTGTTAGATTATTCCAAGACCACTGAGGAAAATACGGACCTGTACAATCTCGCTTTTGGGCATGTTGTGTTTTGTCTGGGCTTGAATGGACTACGAATGGGGTATAGAGTGTGCAACTCAGGTAGTTACGTAGATCTGTACTATCTATACCTATCTATAATTATGACTCAACTCGAAAAGGAAAACTGCGTGTGAGTGGTTATATCGATATTTAGTTAATGACTCGTCAGTGTCCTACCCCATCGAATTCTGCATGTATTACTACTAAAATTACACAACTCAAGCATCATAAATACTGTAAATGGCAACACTGGAAGTATATCTGCCCAACTGCCTTGAGAACTTGCGACCATGTCAAATTCACAGACGATTAGTCAAATAAGCAAATTGAGGTTGGAAAAATGTTTAACTTCAGGCAGACGTTGCTCTTTTGTTACTAAACAGAACCGTTTAATATTTCCCGTAGGAAAGCTATGTGACAAGTTAAATGCACCTTGGAAAATGCCACGGTGGAGAGCACCCAGGAAAAGTGTGAATTATAAACTTATGGAGACAGAAGCTATTCAAAACTTTTTAGCCTCAAATTGTTTATTTGACGAGTCGTCCGTGAATTTGACATGGTTGCCAGTTATCTAGGCCTTAAGTTACAAAACAGTCGGGGAACAACAGTGTATTAATGTTGCCATTTACGTCCAGTGACACCCGATCTCGAACTGATAAATATACTTACCTAGACAGGGCGTCAGTAGCTGAAAGTATAAAATCAAGGTCGTTCTGAAAAAGATAGCATGGGCAACGAAGATCGACATGACTGAAATTTGTAATACTTGATAGACTGTTACCAGTGTAGGTTTTTCCTGAAACAGAATAGAAAGATGAAGAGTGTCTCGATACATTGCATACTTTCAACAGGTGAAAGCCTTCATCTGAATCACAAATGGTTTGCCTGCATGAGCTTCGCCGCAGAGGAAATTGCATATACTAATGTTGTAGACAAACATATTCGGATCTGCATGGACAGCAGACAAGCAATACTGACTTAGAAGTGCTGTGAGCTTACAACGAGAACAGTACCAGACTGCCATTTGGCAACTATAAGTGCTCCTACCAGTAATAAAATAACTGTTGTCTGGATGAAGGGTCATTCACAATCTAAGGGTAATATTACACCTGACACGGTTCTGCGCCCAAAGCTTCTCTGTCTTCTAGATATAGGAGTCATGCTGGAAGATCACATCCACTAAATTTTCAAGGACGAGTGAGATGATACGTTGGGCTGCTTATTCGCAAAAGAATTCCTCAGATATCCTAATCAGAAAGTAGAAAAATACTACTTGTTTAATTTCACAGATGCGATTCGACCCTTTAGCTAAGGAAACACCCCTATAACATGGCATTGGGTGCAATTCCTTAGTTAGAAGATGAGAACAGGAGAATGAGGCAGTCAAACACTTGTTGTGCGATTGCCCAGCTGGGCTATCAATCCATTCTGGGGAAACCTTAGCGTTCTATGACTAGTCCAAGAAACAGTCCGCTGGTTGGCATCTCCAGCATATTTTTCAATAGCCTTGGAGTTCTTTACGATCTAATCCTGAGTGAGCCCTGGAGAAGATATATAAGGGATCCAACGAGGCTTAAGTGCTGTGATTTTGTGATTTTGGCGGACTGCTTTTCCTTCTATGCAGAATACAGAACTGGTGAAATTATTCTGCAGGGTGTAAATGGCTTTATAGTTTACAACTGCAAGTGCTTTATATCGACCACAATCACCACAATCTTATTAATTTTTATAATCTAATCTAAAACGCTTTTAAATTGTGCAATCAACAAATAAATGGCATCAAGTTTTCCTAAGTTAAGCCAAAATTTGTAGTCAGTAAGTTTCACTAATTAAATATTTAAAACACACATGACAGCAGCGCGTCGGTCATTCATCACTCTTATCGAACCGGCAATCGATCGCAAATGGTAACAGTGCGGTGTTGTCAGATTTTATTTTACTTTAAAGTCGCTTTTCTTTAAAAAAAATATTGTCTTGACCCCCATGTTATAGGAAACTAAACGAGGTCTATTTATTAAATGATGAGACTGGCGACGTAGCGTTCGATCTGGCGCCGGGCTTCGAGGAGAGACAGGGGAACATGTGCCTTCAGTACAAGTTTGAACACACTTGAGACATTTGGTTGTCCGTAGCGATATTTTTAGTTAAATAGTTTTTTTATCGTGTTCTAAAAATGAGTGACATCAATTTCGAGCAAGGTTTAGCTTCAGAATTAGACACAGTGCAACGGAAACTTCTGCTAAGCTTCAGTAGGTCTACTGAGATAGCGTTTTGTCAATAGCCCAGGGGGGTGGTTTAAGGCATTTTCAGAAGGGAGAGAGTCGATTAAAGATGAACCACGAAGCGTAAGGCCTTCATCTTCAAGAACCGCGGGAAATATCGACAGAATCCGTGACTTTGTGCATTCAGATTGTCGGTTGACAGTGAGAATGATCGGGGAAGAGTTAAATTCGACTCATACACACGCTTAAAAACAACTGGGTGTTGAATCACGATAATGCTCCTTGTCACACAGCAATGTCAATAAACCAGTCAGTTTTTAGCCAGCAAAAACAATCCTGTGGCTCCTCAGTCTCCTTAATCACCTGACTTGAGGCCTGATGATTTTTTTTCCTTCCCGAAGTTGAAAAATCACTTCAAGGGATCTCAGTTTGGGACAGCCGAGAACATTCAAACGCCTGTAACCGACCAGCTGAAGGCAGGAGGAACTTGTTTTGACGGTAAAAAAAAATCAGTCTCATCACTTAATTTACAGACCTCGTAGTACCAGGACAGGACAGGGGAGCGTGAGACATCGTATATCACCGCTAACGCAGTGCGGATTTGATTTTGGTGGGTTCTACCATTGATTAACGTATTCTACATGAATAGAGCCAACCTAACACTATGTCCCCGCGTCCTATAAACTATCCGTGAGGAAAATGGAATACCGTAGCTCCATTTATAAGAATTTATCACAGCTATGTTTCTCCTTATCGCATGGATAAAAAATTTGCTTTGAAAAGGTTAGTATCTTGTAGATAGCATCGTAGCTAAATCATATATGCTCTGATAAAGTTGTCTACAGGGCCATCTATGAGATACTAACCTCTTGAATCTATGTTTTTAATTATCATAGAAATATAGTATTAAGTTTGCTATCTTCAGATAGAATACGTCACGCAATAGTTCTACGCAGGTGCAGACATAGACGCACCTTTGGCCGTACCGTCCGATGAGTTATGCAGCTTTTTCATTTTGAAGCTCCACTAAATAGATGCAAATGCTAATTAGATACAACTTTACCTGTGTCTTGCTTCTATATTTCCATTGAACGCTGTATTTGTTCTTTGGAATGTTTGACGACCTATACAAGTATTTAACTATGGTAAAGGGTGCATTCATTAATTACGTGAGGCTTTTATGACGATTTTCTGACCACCCTACCCCCTTGGGATTATGTGAGGTTTGGCTCGACCCCCTCGATCATCCCCTCACGCAAGACTTTTCAAAATTTGTAATCTTAGGAGAGATGTGTTGGATTTCGTTAAACAACACAAAAATTCGTCATTATTTTCGTTCAACATCAATGAAGACTAGATTTTAGGATTGCTTGGACGGTAGTCTGAACTTACCTTGATAAATTCATCAACAAAAGACTTTAATAAGAACTACTAGAATTACTGAAAGAATATTTATTTTAATTCAATCTATGGAGACTCCTGTCTGGTCTTAAGAGTCACTATTTGGAACCATCATTTCCATGTGATTTTCAATAAAATCGTCACCTTCTTCAACTTTGCTCTGATCAAGCTACTCTAATCAGTGTCCCCTGCGCACATAAGTTTGTTTTTCTTTGGTTTCGCCCAATTTTCAGAAATATTTTTTTGCGGGGAAAAATTATGTTACATTTAGGTGCGATTCAGCTTGACCCCTGCCTGCTGAACACCGTAATTGAAGAATGCCCCTCTAAGACACTCACCCAAATTAAAGCACTTGCTAGGCTTCCAGCGGCAATTAAGGTTACTACTGAGAAACATAAATAGTCACTATCCAAATCATTATTTTCATAATAGATCTTCGGTGTAAAATAGAAAATCCCCATAACTCCAACAATCTAGAAACATAGAAGTACAATCTGACTAAATCGACATTATATAATTTGTGACATATTTCAAAGATCCTCGAAAGCCTTTCTGGTATTAAAGCTTGACATATAACTTACCAAATTTAAAAATGCGATAAGTACTGCTGCAGTTTTGTCTTTGAAGCAAAAACAAAACATGTTGCTTCACACGCTGGGAAAGTGTGTACAACATCATGTTTAGAATAGTATAAAATTAGGAGTGAGATTGTTAGATTATTTTGTTAAGGTGAGTAAAGCATTTTGTAAGCAAAGTGTAATAATAGATTGGATGTGTTAAGACCGAAGGTTTCGATAACAAAGAACGCACACGTAGGAATGCGTACGCAGAATATTAATTTTGCGGCGAGAAAAAAACAATGACCTTATGATTTTTTCTTTCTTTGAGACTAGACTCCTTGATGTCATGAATCTTGAGGACTAAGTGATATTGTAGTATTATTCCGTATAAGCTAAAGAAAAATACTTTTGCATACTTTTTCAAATTGTAACGCTTAAATTCCTATTTAATTTATACCGAAAAACTTAGAACTTCAGGATGGCAGGTAGATAGCCAGGAGTAAGTGGAGCCTCCATGATTACTAGAGCCTGATTGCGGGACCAATCGACGCAAGCACCCACAGAAACTTCATGCTGTTACTACTACGAACCAGGTGGAAATACGTTCAAATCCTTGTCTTTTCCCATCAAAAATATGGATTAAAAAAACGTTTTTGAGAAAAAAAGTTTTTATTATTGGAATAGGCTACAGCAATCTAAGTTGAAGGGTGTAGTTCTCCACCATACATTTATCATTAACTGAAATACACATAGATTGTTTGCAACTTCTTTGTTGCACAGACGTTGTGGCTTATCTCTCGTCTTTTCGAAAATGAGATATTATGTTTTTTGGACGTTGTATGATGTGTACATCACGAAAAACCGTCGGCCTGTCTCTCTGTCCAATCCTTGGCCCGTTTATAGATTGGAAAGTACCGCTCAGATTTTGATAAATTGTTAACACAAGGTGACTATTACGCCAAGGTGGAAAAAGCTTCATAATCTTTGAAAATCGGCCCAGTGACGGCGAAAGGGTAAAAAACGAATTAAAAGTCACTCAAATTTCGTTTTTTGACGTTTCAGAGACTTTTGATTATTTTTTCAGGGATTCGGATTTGATATCTACTCCAGATATCAGCAGAATGTGACATTCCATGTCAAGTTGTGTGAATAAGATAGTTAAGGTTATTTTCCTCACGGCTGACAGTAGTCAACCTCCATGGCAGAAGTAGGGTCACATTGTGAGGACAACGCGCCAAAAATCTTATTACGTCCCTCTAGAACCTACCAGTGCCACAGCTTTGTCGTGAAAATTACGTTCGAATTGTCAGGACAAGCTCAGCACTTGGATTGGCACCTTTTGGAGGTGAACTTTTAATATCCCGTCAAAATGATATTTTTATGAAAAATATACCACTACAAGTATTCTATACATTTATTATTACGAGCTGTACATTCAGCATGTTAAGATCTTTTTTTTAAATATTAGTTCCAACTGTAAAGTTATGATGAAGAATACTGTAACGTTTTCGTAACCGAAACCTTGAGTCTTTGAATATCGCCGCTTAGGCAACCAGTGTTACGTCACCGTGCCTCAAGAGTGGTATAGCATTCAGAGTCATGGAGATCGGTCAACATCGAGAGCGAACGAGAAGCGTCGATCGATCACCAGAGGGATAATCAGCTATGAATTTGTCAATTGTTATAAACTAGTGTAATAGAAATACATTAGACTTTGAATAGTAAAAACAACGTTTTTTTTTACAATACTCTAGGTTACCACTGCTCATTTTTCTGTATTGTTGAACTGGAATAAAATAACCAAATATGTAGACACACCAGCGACAATCTGAAAATGAATAATAAATGAAAACAAACGCTTGGTCTTTATCACAACTTTAAACTTACTGAAGTGATAAGGCCTCTGTTGATTTTTGTCAATCCAGCTGCAGTGAACCTGATTGGGCAATGAAGCATTTGCATGGTTAAAACTCCTAGCTACAAAACAAAGTTACCAAAATAAGGTCAGTTCATATACACTACAGGGTCCGACAAAATGATCTCTCACGTTTTGCACCGCCACTGTGCCCAAATCACTGGGAGTCGGTTGCTATCTCGCGCCTTGCCATTTGAGTTGTCGAAACATTTATAGAAGTAACGAATCTGTGATTACTACTCGAAGAAATTCTTGTACTCACTTCGCGCCTGAGTGTGTGAACAAGCAGATTTTTTTTTCTAGTAAAGCTCAAAAAGTGGGAGATCATTTTGCCGGACCCTGTACTATCAAAGTTCAAAGCCCAGTCAAACCGCCAAGAGTAACTAGTAATGCCGGGGAGTGGTCGACGGTTTAGATCAAAGATCGATATTGCCTTACTTTTTAACTATGACTGACATTTTCTTTGTCAAACCATGAAATGATCTGCATATGATACGGCTTCAATATAGAGCCAGTAAGACCTCTCTGGCTAATATTTTTCAGATGAGTGGAGCAACAGACACAGCGGTACAGGGCCGGATTATGATTTCAGCGCTATTAGCTGCCCTAACATCTGTATTGTTCAACATTAAAGTGCTTAATTACATCATACGGTGATGTTCTAACTCTTTCTAACACACTTATTGCACGATTATCGCGCATTTCTCTCGTATACATTACGACGTCAGTGGTATTTGGTTTTCAGTGTAGATCATACAGATTCCGTATCTGGATGACTGCTTTGAGTCAGAATAACGGTCTTTAAAATAACTTCAGCGAAAAAGCTACGAGGTTATCTATTCCTTTACTTCTTACTGTTGACAATTTTGACACAAATTACTGAATACTGAACAAAATATTGCCATACCAATGATAGAACACCTTAAATGCTTAAATCTGAGATCGTCAATAAACTTAATTTCATGAATGTTTTTAGAATTGTTGATTGTTTTTTGACGTAGTACTCATGGGGATCAACATCTAAATTTTTTATTTGATGTTTCTCTACTTTCTGGTTATTTCGGACCATAGTAGAAATGTAGGTTGTTCAAAGGGACATGCCTTTTATCGTTGCATTCTGAGAAGGAATATTAATGTCGGAAAGTCACTACCCTTTTTTTTCCCTCTACATTACCATGAAATGCACACTGCCCTACTCTATTAATACAGTTGAAACTGTCCATGCCTACCCACCTGATTGACGTCAATCCGATGCTCCGACCACAGTACCCGGATTATTATTGATGAAAGTTTCTCCAGCTGAAAACATACCTGTTCATATTATAGCAAGAAAATGAAATTTTGTAGTACCCTGTTTCCAATCTGTTCGCAGGGTTGGACTATCAAAAAGAGTCTCATAATGTGTCCAAACGTCCATATAGACTGTAGAAATATGAAAGTGTAACTCCAATTTTTCTCGAGAAAGGCCAAGTACAAATCGTATGGTGTGACCAGCAGATGTAGGAGACATCCTAGAAGGACCAACTGGAAGAAGATATTTTGGTATTATTTACATTGTGTTCACAAAATAGTAACTTGATATAGGTCATGATCTATGCTGTACTAACGATTCCTAGTTAGAATGGAACGGGGCCTTACCAAGATCATTAATCCATAGTAGTTGTTGAGACAAACGCTAGCCTGATACATCAAGTCATATATGCGCACCATATCAAATCTTCGCGTACCTATAAAGTAAATCATGGCATTTTTATTGACAATCAATGGTGCAAAAACATCGGCCTAGTTATTCTATAGAAGCTAAATTTTGTCTGTAAATTTTCAAATTTTTCAATTAACCGCGAAATTGAGTATTTACGAAGGTTGTAGTATGCATATGGTTCCCACATTTTTTTCAGGCACAAAGAATTTTTTTATCGAAAAACTAATTTATCGTAGGAAACGTTGATGCTTCTTCAATTCCGGAAACGCTATGTCGGGGCTGTAAGCGGGTTGGCCAATGACTTCCCAGCCAAATCGCTCGATTCAGTCATTCGTTTGATGTGAGTCAAGAGGATCGGATGACCGCACGAATTAACCACTTGGTGTTGAACTGCGCATGGTTGTCAGGCCGCTACTGAGCGTCGCCAACAGGCGCTTCTTGTTGGGATTGGTGGTGGAGGAGCCGACAAATATGACGGGGTTTCCAGATTTCGCCTAGCGCATCACACGCGGTAAAGTTACAGCGGAACCATATTTTTGGAACAACCCTCGTATGTGTAGTGCCTGAATACTAGCCCCTTCCCACTTCAGTTGGCCCACTTCAAGATTTGTACCAAAATATGCCTTTATAAACTAAACATGACGAAACTATTTACTTCTAAAACAATTTATTTTCTCAAAAACATTTTAGATACACTCTAGTCGTAAAAAATACATATTTGAAATCACTTAGACCTATAACTAATAGAACATCTGAACAAATAAACAATGTGCGAATAAATGCGCGAAGTTAACAAAGCAACAATTGAAAGATTACTATTGGGTAACATCACCTTTATTTTTTATTACGGCTGAAATTCTTTGGGGCATAGTGTTAACCAAGTTTTGGCAAAAATTTGGTGTAAAACAATGCCATATTTCTTGAAGCTTTTGTGTCAGTTCGGTGATTGTACGACCAGGGTGTTGTCGTAGAACCTTTTTCATCTCGTGCCACAAAGTTTCAAGAGGTGACAGATCTGGACTGCTAGAAACCCATTTCAAAAGTAGTACATTATTTTCTTCCATCCATTTTATAGCCTTTTCTGAGGTATGGTACGCTGCACCATCTTGCTGAAACACAAAATCTTGGCCGGATCTCAAACATTCTTCCATCACTGGTAAAAGCGATTCTTCTAAAATTGCCAAATATTTGTTTGTATCCATATTTCCATCAACAAAATGAAGTTTTCCTACTCCTTTTGATGACATACTGTCCCAGACCATAATGGAAGCTGGAAATTTCACTTTTCTCTTCAGACAGTCAACATGGAATGCTTCATTTTTTTGCGAATAACTCTACTGCGACTGTCACCTACACAAACTTCGAATCGGGCCTCATCACTCCATTGTATTGCACACCATTGTTGAGGTGTCCATTGTCTATGTTCTTTAGCCCATCTAAGTCGATTTTTCTTTTGCAGTGGAGTTAATAGTGGCTGTTCTTTGGCATATAAACAAGTTGTGCAACTTTAGGGTTTTTACTTCACATTTTTTATAAGAAAACTTACCTTGCAAGTGCTAAATCCCAGTTTGTGGGCCTCTCTATGAGTTGTGGACCTCGAAATTCTCCTTCCAACAGGTTCACTCCACAGAGCACTTAATTGTACATAATTGGCACGCCTGTTTTTCACGATTATTCTTCTTAATGCTCTTCGGTCGGCATTTGTGATATTACTTTTTTTCACATATCGTGGCTTAATATTAACTGAACCAGTTACGTTATATCTTCTAACAATATTTCTCACACTGTACCGCGATAAGTCTAACAAAGTTGCAATAATAAAAACAATTGTCATGGCTTTTATTTTTCACAGCCACCCATGCGTTATAGACTTATTTTGCATTGAAATGAAAATAGGTTGATATGCTGTAATTGCAACATGTGTTATTTTTATGCTGCAAATTTGATTAGGGAGTGATAAAGTTGGTGTTTTCTACTATATATTATCAAAATATTCATTGTTAATATTTTAAACCTATAACACTCTGCTACATTTTTATTATTTGTGTTTGATAAGAAAAAAACTAAGATTTCAATAGTTGGGCCAACTGAAGTGGGAAGGGGCTCGTATTGCTTTGAACTTCATGAATAATTTTAAGTTGACAATAAGTCGTCAAACATCATGGAGTATACGTTTGATGAATATTCTGATATCCATTTAATGCACGGACTGGCAAGATGTAATGATTTAAAAACAAATATCTCGAAAACTATTAGCTTTAGACACTTATAACAAATAAACCTTTTGTGTTGTGGAAATACGAGAAAATAAGATTGTTCGGTCAGTTGTTGTATACAGGGTAGCACAAAAAAGTTATGAAAAGCCGTTAACCGAAATAGTGCTCTAGAAGTTTGGCCAAAAAAATAACAGATTCTTGTTTCTCATACTGGAAAATCTCCCTATACCAAGTTTTATGCCAAAATCTTAAATACTTCTCAAGAAATAGAAAATAAAATACTAACTTTGACACCCTGTAACTCGTACACTATCAACTTTTGGACTTAGGTATGTTTAGGTCAATTCACACATTTTCTTCTGTAATATCTCCAATATCGAGATTTCCCAACCTTACGCAGACACCGTATATATGTAGATTTTTTGCATTCCTACCTAAAACACTTTGAAGCTGGCTTCCTGCACAGCCTTTTGCAAGCACGATAGACGTAGATATCTTGAATTTATCGAGTTCCTGTAGTGACTCGCCCAAAAACACAACCCTTGAACTGAGAACTTGAACCAGCAAATGAAAGTTGATTATTGCAAGTATATGTACATAGTAGGTGAAATAAACTGGCAGCTGGTGAAGAATATACGACGCTATTTGGTCGCCTGGCATGATGCTGCACCATACGCCTATGTCAGTAGCAAAAATGATTCCTGACGTCAGTAGGACTGTCATCGTAAACCAGACATCATCGTTTTTCCTAGGTGTATATTTCAAGATCGTATCAACCTATAAGAACACAGAAAATTGTTTTAGTTTGAAATGTCCATGTATCATCAAATATCCACTAAGCATTGGCGAATGTAGGTGGGGGCCTCCCATAGACGACCAAACCTTCCATTTTTTTTTTAGTGAATTGGTGTATTTTGCTGTGTCTTAGAATGAAAACTACCTTAATAAACTGAATCCAAATTCAAGATGAGATGTAAATAATAACAGTTAGCGCGTGATCTCTCGGTAACAGGTGGGGACAACGCCTCTTATTGGTCAATTCGCCATTAAATTTCAAGCGGTCGCCTGGTGGAATAATGCGCGGGGCAGGAGCAGGGCAGGCAGAGTTGCACTCAGGCCACCGTCCGTCGCGCGTATCACTGCGTGCTCCTGTTTTCGTATTCACCTTGCTTGGTTGTTGCTGATGTTGTTGTTAAGTGTATTTGAGTAATTTGTTAAGTTTCTGTTTCTGTTAAATACTGTCATCTTTGTTTTACAACACGTTGGTGGTAGTCCATCATTCGGATGTAGCCCTGAATGAGGCCCTGTACGCCGTCCTTGCTTTTGGCAATCACGCATCCATTCTATCTTGGGTGTAAATACACTATAGACCTGAATTGTGGAAACGTGCACCGCCCATAGACCAATCCCACTCACGGCTCTTCAATTGTCAACACAAGGGCATTCGTTTTCAGAGCGCCTTATACAGATTTTCACTTCCCACGCCTACTAGCGAGGAAGTAATTGCCAAAGATTCCGAAAATGAGATATGTTTTTCGGGTGTATAACATGTACATCATAAAAAACCATGTCATTCACTTTCGTCCGCCCGCTGTAGCGGGGGGAGGGGGAGGGCAGTTCATTAAGATAACCTTTATGAAGGCGTGCCCAACTCCAAAACTTTTTAAAGAGTGGGATGCACTCTTCTGTTAAGGGGCGTTGACATTATGCTTATTGACTGGTACCAGTTGGTCCATGACAGTCGACAAGTACAATGTAAACACTGGCTAGCGCCAGTCTCGTGCTTATTTTACTAGCGCTAGCAAAGTTAAAATCATTTGTACTTTTGTGTACCAGTTAAAGAAATAAAAATGGCGCCTATGCACAAATGGAGTGAAAATAAAACGTTAAAATTTGTGAGTTTATATAAAAAATGTGAAATACTGTGGAATGTTCACGATGCAAAATATAAAAACAGAGAAAAGCGAAACAAAGCATTTGAATACATATAGCAGGAATGAACATGAAAAACTTGACCCTGGATATGATAAAGAAGAAAATAAAAGCGATCAGAGATACCTATCACTTGGAGAAAAATAAAATAACAAAGTATAACAAATCTGGTTCATCACCAGATGACTTATACACGCCAAAACTTGTTTGGTTTAATGAAGCCGCTATATTCCTTGAGTACTGCGCTGGTAGAGAACCTTCTAGTAGTCTGGTAAGGATTTCAGCAAAATTATTTGGGTAATGATCAATTACATACTCTTCAAAACAAATACTCATTTGATTTTTTATTCTTTATAGTAAATTAATATACCTAATAATACTTTCTTACAGGATAAATCACAAATGACCTCAGTTGAGTCTTCCGAAGATAGATAGATAGATAGATAGATAGATAGATGGTGGCGAACTTGAGGGAATTTCATCAAAAACATTCGTACCAGCAAAATCCAGTAGTGAGGGAAGAAGCATACCAAGTGTTAAAAGGAAGAAACAAAAAGATGTTCCAGATCATATTTCAAGCGCAATGGAAAAACTGGAGGATCTCAAAAAGGGTGTACGGGAAAAAGATGAATTTGACTATTTTGGCATGAATATAGCACACCAATTAAGAAATTTGTCTATTCAACGAGCTCTAAAATGCCAGACAGAATTCCAGCAAATATTAATGAGAGAGCGACTGTTTTAGTCCAGTTGGAAGGGCTTTACAATCGCCGATAAATGCAGAACAAATTCAACAAGATGGCTACAGCAACAGCTCACTAAGGTGTTACAATTCACAACAACAATCAGATTATAATGATTTGGAAGGAGATAGCGAAGTTCAAATTACTGATATTTTGTCTGCAGCAATTGGCGA